GATAGCATAAACGGTGCTAGCTCACAGTCATTTCTTAGGATTGAGTAATATTCCATTGTGAGCATATACCACATTTTAATTATCCACTCATGAATTGACGGGCACTTGGGTTGTTTCCATGACCGTGCAATAGTGAATTGTGAATTAGTAAATTAGTGAATTAGTAAACATTTGGGTGCAGATGTCTTTATAATAGAATGTCTTATGCTCTTTTGGGTAGATGCCCAACAATGCTATTGCAGGGTCGAATGGTATTTCTATTTCTAGCTGTTTGAGGTATCTCCAAATTCTTTTCCACAAAGGTTGCACTAATTTGCAGTCCCACCAGCAGTGTAGGAGTGTTCCTGTCTCTCCGCATCCTTGCCAGCATTTGTTGTTTTGTGGTTTCTTGATATAGGCCATTCTTTATTTACTCAATTTTTTGGCAAATATTTATTGTCTGTGATTTACCATTCATGATAAAAATAGAGTGAAGTTCAAAGACTAGACAGACCTGGTTGTAATCCTGACCTGAGCTTACTGAACACTTCTGAGCCTCAGTTTCTTTATCTGTAATTATATAATGTCATGACCTCATAGGGTGCTTGGAAAGATTATGTTAGGTAACGTACAGTGCAGGGCACATAATACACATGAAATATGTTTGTTTTCTCCCTTTTTTCCTGAATCATCTATCTGATTTCATTTTGAGTAATACATCAAAATTAGGATCTATTACTTACTGATTTAGGATCTTACTAACTCACTTGACCTCATGTAATCTTAGTGGTTTCATCATCTGCAAAATGAAAATACCTACTTCACAGATCATTATGAGTATCACATGAGCTAGTTTAGGCCATGTTTCAGGCACAGAAGTAGTTCTCAATAACTCCTTGTTCTTTTGTCCTCTCCCCCTCAAATTTCTCTAGATCAAGCATTCTCAATGGGGGCGATATTGCCCTCAAGGGGGTGAGAATGGTTCCTGAAAAACAAAAAATGTTTTACTCTTTTTATTTGTAAAGACAGATACATATAATCCATAAACAGACATATAGTGTATTTGTGATATTAAAATTTTATGGAGGTCAGGATGATTACAAAAAATGTTAAAAAGATTTCTTGGGGAGGATGCAGAAAAATGCTGAAAAATATTGCTCACTGCACCAATATAAAGTATGTCCACAAAACCATTGCTAAAATTCACATACTTCTGAGGAACCAAGTGCCAGTGGCTTAGAGATCCTCCCTAATGCCTTTTTCTTAACCCAGAAGTAAGTTTTGTATTTTATCTCCTGTGAACATTATATTATTTGTTTTTCTAAACTGCCTCAACTTTTTTTGACCCAACTATGTTATCAAACTCCAAATCCCACAAATATAAAAAAAGTAGAAAGATTAATGAATGTATTTGGGTCTGAATTCCAGAGAGTGCTCTTTTGGCATGGCTTAAATAACATTAGCATTCTTTTTCATTTTCTGGTTAGGCCCCTGTGTCAATTAAAATATGGCTTAACACCAGGGTGCATCGCTTGGCACATTCTGTTCAACATGCATTAAAAAATGGTTGAAATAAGAACTTCCCCTAAATAGCATGGCCTGTGTTTGTGATTTTCAAAACCACCTTGGGCACAATATTGAATCCTGTCACCTCAACAGAGGAAAAGCATTTGAAGGTAGAATTGCTACACTTTCTCGCTCTTAATAACATACTCCCAACTGTAACGCAAGGGGAAATTCAGAGGTTGGTTTGGGAATAAATAAACTCATGTGTAGTTTGCTATTTAAATTCAGTAGACAATACTCCATGGTGCTGGTACTGTATGATAATGAATGATTTTTACACTCGAGAGTCTGAATCACAAAATTGCATTGGAATTACACGTAGTGGTTATAGAAACATCTGTATAAGAAAATACCAAAGGACAGGTTGGTGTCATATAAAAACTATTTGCTGATAAATCTGCTTTTGATGGGCTACTAAAAATGGACACATCAGGCATAAAAGATATGTGTGTCTATTACGTAGGCTAGCTTTGTGAAGGATGACAAGCTTCTACTGGTACACTGAGATAAGAAACAGCTGTTGTTGGCATGGGTACTACTGCAAGAAATAAAAAGATAATTTCTGTGGCACACTTATGAGAGTTGCCACATATTTGATCAACTTTTGAATAGATGCGAGACCAGAATCATCTGGCAGCCCCAAATGGAATTGCCAACAACCCTTTAACAATCTCTCAAGAAGGAGCACTGACTTCAATCCCATAGAGCCATCATCCAATTGTGTGTCATTTCTAAAGCAAGTAGTTCCAGTGTGTGTATGTGGTTGTGATGGGGTAGGGAAGGAATGGGAGGAAGCTGCTGTTATTTTCTTTTTTTTTTATTGCATCAAGGACATTTCTGAATATAAAATTTCAGGGTTTCAAATGATGACTGCAAAGCAGTTGCTTAGGTGAATTTATAAACTGTGAGTCAAAGGGGAAAAAACATCTTTCAGGAAAAAAATTGCACTGAATCTTACCATTGGATCTATTTGATAGCTACACATAAAGACAAAAAGCATTTTAAAAAATGAACAATTATGAACTCCAATTCCAAAAGCTTAATATTTTATATTGATCTGGAACTTATAACTTTTTAAAAATTCTGTTAAAATCTTTGCAGCCATTTAGTTCAAGCATATTGTGATAATACCTCTGGTGTTTAATTGGGATTTTTTTCCTTTTAATGTTTAACAATGCAAGGTCAACTATAGATACTCTAAGATCTCACTATTAGCTCAGCCTTGCACTACTGATTTTCCTCTGTCTCTTACTAGATTATCTGCTAGAAGGCTGTTTTTGTTTTTGTTTTTGTTTTTGTTGTTGTTGTTGTTGTTGTTTTTCAAGAAGAAAGTCCTTGAGCCAGGCCAGGCAATCAGCAAACCTCTCCTCCAGTACACTTCTGACAGGTGCCTAGGAGTAGAATAGTGTAGGAAATCCAAACTAGCTCTTGTGCTACCAGAGGACATATCCAGCATCCTCAGAATTAGAAAGAATGTCTGGACCATTAGAATGATAAAGAACTGGAGAGGGATAATGAAAGAAATTGTGAGGTCTCCGTCCATAGAGACCTTTAGGGAAAGAATAGCCATTCTTTTCTCAGTTTAGGCATTCAAAAGCTTGGCATTTATAGCTGGGGAGAGCTGGACCAAATGCTCTCTGGAGTTCTCTTCTTCGTTTTACGATGCTGGTATTTTAAGAAGAGCGTGCACGGAGCAGCCAGGAGCTCTAATTTCTGCCTCTTCACCATGTTTCTAGCTAGAGAGGGGTAGGGTTTTCAGATTTCCATAACATCAGACTCTAACCAGGTAGGTCAGGGAGTCCAAGCCCATGTTCTTAAATCAGATCTTATTTACTCTGTGAACTAATCTGAACAGGAGAGTTGTATCCCAGAGAAGAAAAAAGAACAAGAGGAGAGTTGGGCAGAGACTGAGAAAGGCAGGGTGGAAGGGGAAGAAGGGAAGGCAGGGGGAAGGAGAAAGAAAGGAATAGAGAACAGACAAGAGAGAAACTGAAGGTGAGGGACTACTTCAAAACAGCAGCTAAATATCTTGTTTTTGCCATATTAAAAATTTCTGTCTGCCAAAATGAAAAAGCATAATTAGCGGCTAAATACGAATCCATTTCCTATATTGTTTAAATGACATATCTCCAAAGAACAAAACAGCATGTCTGGTTAAAGGTTGGGTGAGTCAATCCCTCTACTACTCTATATAAAACAAAGAAGCTGGAGTTGCATTACCCTTAAATTGTCTGGCAGTGGATGAAGTTAACTTTTATTAGAAGCTGTTCTTTCATATTATACAGTGTAGCCAAGGATATATTAGCTTTGACGTTTTCTTACATCTCAATACACTGCAGAGTGAATTTACTGTGAGACTAATTTAGAACGGAGCTATTCATAAGAGGAAATAATGGTCAGCATCAGCTGTGCTTCAAATTATTAGCAGGATGAAAATTCAGGAAAAAATGTACATAAAATAACTAGATGTTCATAAGAATGTTTTTTATATTTCTATTTCTGATGCTATTCTGTTTCTTAAAACTCCAGTATCTTAAAATGATATTCAGGAAGAAGATTTTATTGTTGAGCAAATGTTATAGTGCTTCCTAAACAGGATTATTTTTTCTTAAAGAAATAAAAAAAAATCATCAGATCAAATAGTGTATAAAAGGTATTTGTAGAGGTTCAGCTTTAGGAAAGAAAAAAAACCCTGCAAATTAAGGATTAAAAAAAAACAGTGTAAAGATGATTCATTTGACTAATACACAACCAAGTCATTATAAAATGAATTCCCAGTATGTGAAATTAAATTTTACCTATAGGCTTCATCACTCATCACAAAAGTTTTATTACACTCTAATATCAGGTGCCATTCTCTCACTTTTGGTTATCTTTTCTAATAAGATCAAGCTGGTCGGCTGACATTTTGAGGCACCAATTAAGCATATAATCAGTAAATGAATTTGGATTCTTTTTAAACCAAAGAAGGAGAAAAACAAGCATACCAGAATGATAAGCATTGTACTTTAGCTTCAATAACTTAGAATGTAAATATATCACAGAGGGATGTTTCAGCTGCTAACCTAATAAAACCCGGTCAATCAAATACTAAGAGATATTGAGAAGCAGCAACAGGAAGTGTTATAAGAAAAGCACCCAGTGGAGACACATACAAGAAACCCCGTCAGTCTACTCATGCAGTTTCGTGTCTGTTCTATAGGTTCAGCAGTGGAAAGTTGTTGTTTTTTTTTTTCCTTTGCATTTATCTTTGTGCCTGAATGAGTTCAATTTCACTTAGATTAGGACAGAAATTTCAGAACAGCAGGTTAATCCGTTCTGTCTTCATGGGCAACTGAGCAAACAGACCAATATCAGTGTAAAATTGTAATTCTGGAGATTAATGTTGTCTTTCCTGTTTGCAGTGAATTTGACCTCCTCTCCTTTCTTTCTTTCTCTCCCCGCCCTCTTTTCAGCTTCTGTCCAGGGTCCCTGGGAGAGAGCCATCTCACCAAACAAAGTGCCCTACTATATCAAGTAAGTTGGAAGAATTACATTCTTAAAGGAGCATTTATTGTGACTAATCTGTATATTCACAAATGAATTTATTTTTAAAATGTGACATCAACCTGGCCTACAATATCTATTTCTTTCTTTCCTGAGGAATCTTGGATAGTAAACTCATGCTAAAATTACCATCGTAAATTTGCTGATGCAATAGGGAACTGCTTTTAAGAAAATTTCATTTTAATTCAGCATATATGGTGTGTTTTGTGATGGGGGGGCAGATTTTTCTCAGTAGAACATACAGATCCAGATAATATTATTGATAGTGGGAGTGAATATGTGCAAGAACAATTTCATTTATCTAGGGCTTTTCCCACATTTCTTCTTCAGACAAAGATGGAAGATTTCTGCAGTTATATGTATACAAACTGTTTTAGGTGAATGAATACTTCATATATCCAAAAGGCAGAAAGCAGCAGTCCCGGGTTTGTGGAGCTGAGTTGTTCATTCTTGTAACATAGCACTCAGTATTTCTCACCTAACAATAACAGAATGGTACTGTTTTCTTGGACCATTTGTGCTAGTCCAAGGAATATAGGTGCTTTCAGGCACCTTCTGAAGGATGTTGTAAGAAATATAAATTATGATACATTGGGTCAACATGGAAGAAAGAAGAGAGAGGATATTGAGTGATTATTATACCTTAACAGTCTTTCATCAATCGTGCAGTAGAGTCACATTTAAATTTAACTTTGAATTAGCTACCTAGACAACAATTAAAATTGATCTGGTTTGTGAAATAGTCTTTAATACCAACTGAATACTTTGAACTTGATTCTGTCATGAGTGTAACTAAAAATATTAAATGTTTTCCCATTTTTTCAGCCTGTCATCTTTTATTGAGTCTGTTTTTATTCTTCCATTACCCATCAATTCTTCTTAATTCAGCTCTAAAGCAATAACAGCAGTCCTAGATCTTCATTACTTCAGTTCTAAGAAATTTGATTTCATGCCTCTATTTTGTTAGCTCAGAAGAATGGGGATAAAGGGAGTCTTTTGGCTCTTCAAGACGAGATATATCCTTTAGGAAATGGTTTACCCTTTGTCTTATTAAATTTTTCCAGATGACATATCTCTTAACTTTAAAACTTCTTCCTTCACATTCTTTGATCCTGCTTTTTTAACTTTCTCATTTTTTAATTTAATTTTATTGTTTTTTTATATTTAATTCATTAACTTAGTCACTCTAAATTACATGTTTTAATTACCTATTTCAATCACATGTTTTATTAAATAATATATTGATTTAGACATGCACTATTGCTTTACATCCACTGTATGTTTTATGGAACTATTTTATTCAAAGTCTTCACAGTGATTTTCTACATTAGTGTCTTTGTCATCACAAATGTTGATTTCTAAGATATTTGAGATCTGCTACTTTCTCAACCCACTTACAAAACTCATGATTTATCCAATTCTTTTATGAGGTGAAATAAAGATTCTTTTTCTCCTTTTGTAGATGAAGTTTTAGGGCCACTTAAGAATCCAAGACACCTTTAAGCCATTATTCTCCAAATTACTACCTGTTTGGGGCTGTTATGGTGTCTCACACGGATTCCCTGAATCCCTCAGTCCCATTGTTTTTCTCTAAATATTCATCTTCGTCTCTATGATATTCTATCTGCTACAAGAGATGTAATATCATGTATGTTGCTGGGAGAATGGAAATGAATTCAGTCCAAAAAATAAAAATGAGACAAATTGCAGAAAAGCTGTAATTCCCACCCCTTTCCCCCATGAATTAATCTCTTGCTTCTCCTCAGTGGAATTAGAGAGTAGCTACATATTCTATTTGTCCAATGCTCCTTCATGTACTTGAAGTTCATCATGGTAGTATTAGTAAGGGAACAGATCTGTGAACAAAAATACTTGAATTCTAGTCCTGACTCTGTCATTAAATGATTTGTGGCCTTGAGCAAGTCACTTAACCTATCAAAACCTTGGTTTATCACTTATGAAATAAAGACTTGGACTAGATGATATCTAAGGTTCTTTTTAGCTCTAAGAATCAATGAGTGTGGCTCATTCAATGGTTTTGTCCAAACTCAAAAACCTAAGATCTCAGCTTTTGCTCAAGAATGTTTTTATTGTTTAAATTCATTATTTTAATTATTAACCTAACATAAATTTTTTAAAAAAATATATAGGAATTTTATTTTTCCACTATTTAATTAGCTTCAGATATGCCCTCTCAATTCACTCCATTTTTCTAGGCACATCTTTAAAGAGCTCAAATTTTGGTGTATAATTTAGGACTATTATTCTTTCTGGGCCAACAATAACAGATATAGAATAATAGATGAGAAACATTAGTAGAAAGGTGAGTATGGAGACCTTAAAAGATTCTGAAGTGATAAGTTCCTTAGAATGAGGAATTATATAATTTCTCAAAGATATCTCTGAAGTTTTATGGAGAATAGTTCACTCTATAATTATAACCTATTTTGAAATAGGGATTATATAATTTCTCAAATATAAATCTAAAATTTTAAACATTGTATATAATATAGGGAGAACACATGTTCATAAAATATACATTGTCAGTAAGCAGATTATTAATGCCATTGTGTTTTATTTTTATCCATTACTATTATCTTAAATATTCTACTTAAAGCAAATTAATTTGATGCACAAGGATCAGTGGAGTTCGTGCACTGGCTAATGCCATTCATAACCTGAGATGCTATATTGGTCCAAAAATAATGATAAAAATAAGCTTACAATGACATTGTTTCAACCAGTCTCCATTTTTCCTCTTTCTTGTCTTGTTTGTATTGACTTCCATTCAAGAGTTTTTACCATACATGCCCAGCTGTGAAACCAGGTGTCTTCTCTGGCTATTTTTTTTAATGCTTTATAATTTTTCCTTTTCAATGCTGGGATAAAGTGATCCTCCAAATAACAAGAGGTTTCTATACCAATAGCACATTCCTAGTTGGGTTATTGAGTTGTGCACTCATCTTTGAGGTTTTAAGTCATTAACAACATCTTTTGCTCTAGATTGCAAATCAGGCAGTGTTTATGCCTGTGTCCTGACATCAGCGTTTCATAAAGTGCTAAGAACCTTGATTTTGATACTTCGAACTACATGTTTGTCTAGTTTATTAGGCCAGAGCATACATCATTGTTACAGTTTTCATATTCCCTCTCCCTTGGGGCTCTCTTATTCTGCCAGCATCTCTTTCAGGTTATTTGATTACAGCTTTCATTGCCACTGAAAAAATAATCACCAACAATGTTCAACCTGTTACAACTGCCTTTTCTACTCTCTGCCATTTTGTAGTTTTTTGGCCTACTGTCAAACTCATGAAAATTTCAATATAATAGCCTTTAACCAGCTGCTGCATTCTGTTAGGATTTCTTTCACCTTTTTATGTTGCATACTCCCATATGGGTAAACCAAACAGAGCCAAGAGCTGGGACTCTCTTGCTTTCTTAATGAGTTTGAAAATTATTCTTCTGTGTTCTAGACTGTCAAAAGAATTTAGGAATCCCAAACTTGCATGCAGGATGTTCCAGCATAGATGTCATAATAAGAGCATAAGAAATGTGACACTGGGTCAGAACACAGGGCAACTAGCACACAACTCTGTCCCAGATGAAGATACCAATAGTTGCTTTGTCAGTTAACCTAGTAAATTTCACCTAAAAAATTAGGATCCATCATGATCACTTCTTAATAATACATTGTAAATCAACTGGCAGTGAGTTTATCCAGTGGTGTCTTAAACCTTTCCCATTCCCCATCTCAGCCTTGTCTCAAGAATACATTCCATAAATGTACTGACTTCTATATAAATAAAGGAATGTTTTAATTTCTCTTTAATCTGCATCCTTTAACCTCAAGGAATGACCCCAATTAAATGCTTTGGAATTCAGTAAACACATTTATATTTACCCAGAGTTGACTTTAACCTCACATCCCCCCCACTAAGGCTTTTTAATTTTCATCTTCCCAGTATGAGAAACTCTAATCCTTTTTAGTCTTTCACTCTGTCCTTGACTGAAAGATAAGCTTTCCTCTTGATTATCTTAGTTGTTTTTCCCTGGATCTTTTCCAGCTCTGTTATATCTTTCTTGGGATGTCATAACTAGAACAGCCCAAATATTGGTTATGAAATCTGTTAGCATTGTCTCTAGTCTCCATTCACTCAAGAAGAAAGTAAATGCTATTTGCTGTCTCCCATTGGTACAGAAATTGGAGAAACCAATTGGGGTCATAACCTGTTCTACATATATTAGTTCCAGCTGAATGTTGGTTTTCTGCTATTTTTCTGTAATACCAGCTAACGTGCTTGACCTTGTTATTTCTGCCAGCTGTCCCTTAGGAGGGATTTGATTTTTAGACAAGTTGGTCCTTTCCTCCTTCAAAGACGCTGTGGTTGCTAAATATTGGGAGGAATTCACTAATGAAACTCTGTAATAAACATGCTGACTTGATCAGCAATGATGCATTTTGTCAAGTTCCCTTTCTAAATATCTCTGAAGCACTTTACAGAAGAGTGAAAAATGGGGTTCTGGGGAACCTGCTAACTGTTTAGCTTTTCTTTATGTGCAATGCTCTAGAAGCAACTTCATGTCCAAAGAAGTGTCTATCTTTTCCTGCTAGTTATTTTGGATGTTGTATATACATTGCTATATATGTTGCCTGATGACTTTGATCTACCTTTTTCTCTACTCTCAATCCCAGGCGTGTTTCCACGGCCATTTATTGTATCTGAGTTGCTCATAACTTTCTGGTGGTTCCTGCTTAGCAAAATGTGATATAAAACCTTCCTGGATGAAGTTAACAGTTGCTTCAGTCAACATTTCTTATTACTTTTGTTATGTCTGCTGACAAAATTGCTGGTTTGGGTTCCAACTCTCCTGTCTTATTACAGTCTACTGTTCCTATAGCTCTACCAGAATGAATATTTGACTCTCTGCATGGAATTGCAGCCATCTGTTTAGACTTACCTTTTGGTATT